TTCAGTTTTTTTCTTAAACTCGTTGAGCCCTAGTCTAGAATGTTTCAGGGTACAGCGTTAGTCTTCTGCATCTCCATGAGAACAGAGAATCACACAAAAAAAACAGAGGTCCAGGTCAGATCTGTGGAGAGGCCCGACTCACAGTAACAGTTCACATTTTTCACAGTATTTCTGAGCAACCTGGAAAGAAAACATCGAGACAGGACCCAGAGAAACATGCTCTCTCCCTCTATCTCCTATCTCTGTTTGTCTCTGTTTCTCTCTCTCACTCCCACCATTTCTGCATCTGTATCTTTTCTTTTTCTACATCTCTCTCTCTCTCTCATCTCTCTCTTTGTATGTGCAGCTGCAGCTTTTCCCCGTCTCTCTCCCCGTCTGTCTCCCCCTGCTGCCCTCTCTTCTCCCCCTCCTCTCTCTCTATCTCCAGACTGGTGCTTGAGCCAGATCTGTCTGGTTGTAGCTCCCCTCCTCTTCCCTCCTCTTCCCTCCTCTTCCCTCCTCTCCTCTTCTCTTTCTCTCTCGTGCAGGATTTGTGTTTGCAGCTGTTGTTCAGAGTATCTCTCTCTTCTTTATTACCTCTGTCTCTCTTTCAGCACCCCTCTCTCTCTCCGTCTCTCTTTCTCTCTCTCGTGCATTATTTGTAGCTGTAGCTCTCAGTGTCTCCTTTCTCTCCCTCTTCCCCCTCCTCTCCTCTCCTTCTCTGCATCTCTCTCCTCTGTTTTGTTCAGGATTTGCAGTGTGAGCTTCATCTCCTCCTCTCCCCTACACTCCTTTCTCCCTCCTCCCCTCCTCTACTCTTCTCTCTTGTGCTTCTCTCTCCTCCCTCTCTCCTGTGCAGTATTCAACTGTAGCTCCTCTCTCCCCTCTTCCCTCTTTTCTTCTCCCTCCTCTCTTTCTCACTATCTCTCTTCTCTCTTGTGCTTCTCTCTCCTCCCTCTCTCTCGTGCAGTTTTCACAGTAGTAGTTCCTCTCTCCTCTCCTCTCTCCCTCTCTCCTCCTTTCTGCTGGTCTCTCCTTTCCTCTCGTCTCCTCCCCCTCTTCCGTGCAGTTTTCATAGCAGTAGCTCCTCTCCTCCTCTCCTTTCCTCTCCTCCTTCTCTCTTGCACAGCTTCCACAACAGTAGCTCCTCTCTCCTCTTTTCCCCTCCTCTCCTCCCTCTCTCTCTCTCGTGCAGTATTCGGCTGTAGCTCCTCACTCCTCCTCCCTCCCCCTCTCTCTTGTGCAATATTCACTTCTGTAGTTCCTCTCTCCTCCTCTCCTTCTCCTCCTCTCCTCTCTTCCCTCTCTCTTGCGCAGCTTTCACAGTTACAGCTCCTCTCTCCTCCTCTCCTTTCCTCTTCTCTCTTCCCCCTCTCATGTGCAGTATTCAGCTCCTCTCTCCTCTCCTCTCCCTCTTTCCTGTGCAATATTCACTTCTGTAGCTCCTCTCTTTCTCCTGTGCTGTTTTTACAGATGTAGCTCTTCTCCTCTCTCCTCCTCCCTTTCTCTCTCTCTTTCTCACTCTCGTGCAGAATTCACAGCAGTAGCTCCTCTCTCCTCCTCCTCTGCTCTCTCCCTCTCTTCTATGCAGTATTCAGTTGTAGCTCCTCTCTCCTCTCCTCTCCTCCCTCTTTCTTGTGCAGCTTTCACAGCAGTAGCTCCTCTCCTCCTCACCTCTCTCCCCCTCTCCTCTCATCCCTCTCTCCTGTGCAATATACACAGCTGTAGCTCCTCTCTCCTCCTCTCCTCTCCTCCTTCTCTCTCCTCTCCTCTCTCCCCCTCTCCTCTCCTTCCTCTCTGCTGTGCAGTTTTCACAGCAGTAGCTCCTCTCTCCTCCCCCTCTCCTCTCGCCTCCTCTCCCCCTTTCCTGTGCAATATTCACTTCTATATCTCCTCTCTCCTCCCTCTCTCTTTCGTGCAGTATTCAGCTGTAGCTCCTCTCTCCTCCTCTCCTTTTCTCTCCTCTCTTCCCTCTCTCCTGTGCAATATTCACAGCAGTAGTTCCTCTTTCCTCCTCTCCTCTCTTCTCTCTCTCCTGTGCAGTATTCAGCTGTAGCTCCTCTCTCCTCCTCCTCCTCTCTTCTCTCTCTCTTCCCCCTCTCGTGCAGTATTCAGTTGTAGCTCCTCTCCTCCTCTCTCCTTTTCTCTCCTCTCTTCCCTCTCTCCTGTGCAATATTCACAGCTGTAGTTCCTCTCTCCTCTCCTCCTCCTCTCCTCTCCTCTTCTCTCTCTCTCTCTTCCCTCTCTCGTGCAGTATTCAGTTGTAGTTGTGGCTCTTATCTGGCGCTGGCAGCAGACAGTCCCTGGGCTCACACACTGGTAATAGAGACCTTTTATCACACCACCACACGGCCCCTGCTACTTCCTCTCCCCCCTCTCCCCCTCTCCCCCTCTCTCTCTCTCTCTCCTCACTCTTTTCCTTCTCTCTTTCCATTCTCTCTCCCTCCCTCTGTCTCTATGCTTCTCTCCAACACCCCTTCTCTCTCTTCTGCATCTCTATTTCTCTTGTCCGTCTCTCTCTCCCTCTCTTCAGATGGACAGAATGGCGTTTCTTTTCTATTTCCATCATAAGTTCTTCTCTGACGGTGAGGGGAGAGCTCTGCAGACACTATCCTCAGAGTTTTGGAGCACAGGCCACAGAATCATCGCGTTACTCTCTCCAAACGGTTCATTTTTAGAGCTGGAGTGAGTGCTCAGCTGTCTGCACGTCTCTAGACTTTCAAAATAAACTGGGACATCTCTGGTTTGTGTTGGTTGGTCATAATAAAATTGTGAAGAGAGTAAGTAATTAAGAAAACTGTTCTGCACTCGGCACTAAAATGAGTCAGTATAGTCACATTTTCTTTGTCTTTAATATATTTTACCTAAACAAATCTCTCTCGAGTGTTGGCAGGATCAGATTGGTCAAAAATAGAAACACCTGGGACATTTCTTGAATAAAACTGGAACAAATCACTAGTTTTGTTTTATTACCGTATTTCCCGGGCTATTAGGCGCCCTGGATTATAAAACGCACTCTCATTAAATGGTGTATTTACAAACCTTTTTCACAAATAAACTACACCGACATTAAAGGAAACCCAACAGTGTGATGGGTGAGTGGTTTTGTTTGTTTGTGGCGTTCACGGTGACTCTGGGCTTTGTTCAGTTGTGGCGTGTAGGGAGGGTGTGTCTGTCGCTGGATTGTCGGCGTGTTCACAGTGACTCAGTTGTTCAGTCGCGTCTTTTTCGGTTCGTTCCTCTGTTCCGTTCCTCGTCGGCGTGGAGTGATGAGTGTGTCTGTGGGTGTTTTTTTCGCTGTGCGGTCGCTGTCTGCTCCGTGTGTGTTTGTGTGTTCTGCGGGTGGTGCGGCTTTGTAGTTTACTGAAGTCGTACTGGGACACCCAAGTGGATTGGTGTATAGGGTGCTCTGGATTGTGAGGCGCAGTCGTTTTTTGATGGGGTTGGCGGTTTAAGAGCACGTCTAATACAGTAGTTTCTTTTTTCAGACCAAGAGTTTGTTTTCATACCTGACAGTTTCGACTGCTCACTAACGCTCTTCCTCAGAGTCAGACTCAGCTGATTTAAACAGGTTTTAGATCAGTCTTCTAACCGGTGGAGGCAGGACGACAGCAGCACCTGCAGTCCCACTTCCTCAGGACAGTATCCCAGGTGTGAGAGTAAATATATCACCCTATGGGCACGTTTCCGTATTTCGATTGCCTCTTTAATCCAGCGACTATGTTTGTTTTCCTCTGTCCCAGTGATGTTTGCTCGTTCCAGTCCTGAATTTACAGTGGTCAAAAATGGCCGACTTGAGTTGTTCCTGTTCTGCTTTGTGTTTTGTTGCTCGTGTCCACACCTTCGCTGTTCCTTTTTTCGTGTACTGAATGCCCTCCCTGTTTCCCCGAAGTGTGTTTTATTGCAGGAGATTTCGTTTATGACATTACACTTATGCTCCGGTTCCATTTTCTCTTTTGGGTGGACGAGTATTTGCCCGAGTTTTCTGTTTGGTTTCACAGGTGTGTTCATATTGTGTTTTCTCTATAAACTATAAACAGGATGATAGACCAGGACGAGGGGCTTTTTTACTCTCACACACCTGGGACACTGTCCTGAGGAAGTGGGACTGCAGGTGGCGCCGTCGTCCTGCCTCCTCCTGTAGGAAGACAGCGCCAAAATCTGTGTAAATCATCTGACCAGACACGTCACAGCAACAACATGTGATGAGGAAGACGCTAGTGAGCAGTCCAAACTGTCAGGTGTGAAAACAAACTCTTGGTCTGAAAAAAGAACCTAATAACATAAATTATCAGAAGACCAAATGAACCTCATCGGACTAAATCACCAGTTTTGTTTAAATCTGCTGGGACAGGGGACACAGGCTCAACATTGGGACTGTCCCGGGGGAAAAGACACGTCTGGTCATCCTGTGTGACCTGTGTGGACTAAGTTCTAAACTCTCAGACACAGAACAGACAGAGACAGAGTGAAGTCTCCTCCTTCAGGAAGCCTTTTGTTGTCATCAACTGTATGTTCATTTAGCACCAGCCTCTGAAACCAAAGTCACTCTGCTTTGATATGTATGTAACTTGTATTTCTGTATAAATACTCAGAGGTCAAATGCTCTGGGGCAGATTCTGGGGAGAGACTTAGAAGACGGGGCAAGATGTGGTAGGTACACACTGCTGGAGGAGAGAGGCTGTTGGTCTGTGGTCAGGACAGGTCTAGGCTCTGTCTATATCTGCTGTAACAAGAATAAACCTTGGTCTATATTCCAAAAACTCATTGGGCGTCGCAAATTGATTCATTATTTATCTTCAAGAGATGCATACATTCTGTCACAACACAGGTTTAAATGATTGTTTCTCATTTTAAGTGAAATCTAACGCAAAATGATTCACGGTCGATGATCTGAGGTGACGTGGAGACATCAGCTTGGTCCGACATGTTCGTCACTTTGGTGTAGAGCGCCACGTCCCTGAGACTGTTCACTTGTGCAAAGAGACTTCTGTTTTCATGTTTTAATAATACGCACAAAATCAACTGACAAAAACATGTTTACTGATTTAAACAATTTACTACAAACATTTTATAGTCAAATACTATGCAGCAGTTTCAAGTACTGTTGACATGAGCTTCTATCAGATGGAGCTTTACCTCAGGAGGCGTCAAGTCACCATCAAAGGAAGGGAATGTAGTCAGTGCTCTTACTGGAATAAAAAAGTCCTACAAAAATACTACTGACCCAACTGGATTTCACCATTGAAACTGGCAAAATTACAACTTGGTATCCAGAAAAGTGATTTGATCTGAACATGTTTAGCTCCTATTTGTGAACAGTTGCGTCTTGTTTATGAAATGTGAAATGAGCAGTGGACATCCGCTCCCTGCAGGATGCACATGCACAGTGCAAAATAAAGAGTCAGACATTAATGGGAGTTTTGGCGCAGGCTTCATCTGAACGGAGCAGACGGGGGCGACGGGAGTTCAGTCGGCAGGGACCACCTCCAGAACGATCTGCAGAGCCCGGCTCACTGCATCTGCACACACACACACACACACAGGACACACACGTCACAACACCACACAGCACACAAGACAACTTTTGTTTCACTCATGTTTGAGTATAAACTTTTGTTAGTCTGTCTAGCACAGAATGTTCCACCTCGTGACGTCATGTAGTGGTACTTTTCAGGTTAACAGCTCCTTTTACCTTCACCATGGGCGGGTCAGGTGAATCAAATGAACGATGAACGGCAGAAAAATACTTGATGTGTGTCCAGGGCGTCTGTTGCCCTGGAAACAAGTGATATTTCCCGTCTTTTCCCAGAACGATGGACCAGGCTACGAGACTTTAGGGCTTTTATTACATAAAATCACCAGCAGACGAGATCGACTCGAAGGCTGCGCTCCCGATTTAGTCCTGGTTTAGTCCTGGTTTAGTCCTGGTTTAGTCCTGTTTAGTCCTGGTTTAGTCCTGGTTCAGTCCTGGTTCAGTCCTAGAGATCAGCTCGGTGGTTGTGGTGTATATATGTTTATGTTAATGACACTGGGCTAATCCTGGTTTAGACCTGGTTTAGTCCTGGTCCAGTCCTGGTCCAGTCCTGGTCCAGTCCTGGTCCAGTCCTGGTCCAGTCCTGGTCCAGTCCTGGTCCAGTCCTGGCGATCGGCTGAGCAGTTTGCGGTGTGTAAATATTTATACTCCACTAATGACACGGTGTAGGTTCAGTCTTGGTCAGTGTTGGGAGTAACATGTTATAAAAGTAACAAATTACTGTAATGTGTTGCTTTTTGCTGTAACTCAGTAATGTGGCATTACAGGGGAAAAATAAAAGTAATATTTTACTCAGCGTTACAATGCTTTTTTTAACCTAGATTGAAGTGGTGGGTTTTTCTTCATACAAATTTGCTAAAATCACCGAGATATCAGCAGCGGAGAAACGCCGGAGATGCGCCCAAGTAGACCGTCAGGTGACCGCGAGAGAAAGGACCGACGCAGAACTCCACACGCCACAGGGCAAAGAGCAGCTGATGCCCGATCGCACTTTGCAGAAACCATGTCCGCTTTGAAGTTCTAGTCCAAGATTAGTCCTGGTTAAGACCTGGTTTAGACCTGGTTCAGTCCTGGTTTAGACCTGGATTAGTCCTGGTTTAGTCCTGGTTCAGTCCATAAACGGCACAAAAGTTCAGCATCTTCACAGTTATTTTGGTGAGAGTTAAAGTGCTGCAATAGTAATGTAATGTTTTACATTTTAAATACAGTAATATTGTAATGTAACCGATTACTTTGAAATGACAGTAATGAGTAATAAATAACACAATACAGTTTTAAAGTCACTTGCCCAACATTGGTCCTGGTTTTAGTCCTGGACTAATGGGCTGACCCTGATTCATAACGGGAGGGTAAAGGGTGAAATGTGAAGGAGTCCCGGCAGGTGCGGATTTAACTTTGATATAATGACGGGGGTGTGGTGCTGAACTGAGCAGGTGCGGGTCTTCAAAAATGGACCCGTGCAGGACTCTGGAACAGAATCTAAATGTGCAGGTTTGTGGGTTAAATGTGTGGAAAAAAACAAACAAAAAAAACACAACTCCAGGTGTGTTTGTGATGAGGAAACATTATATCACTGATCAGAAAACAGCAATTTTATGTTTTTCTGGTTTTGATTTAATTAGATTTTTACTGTTTTTTACTGCTCTGATTGTTTTAGGACCACTGTGATCACATTAACGGCAATTCAACCTTTAGTCCTTTTCTTTATATCGTTTCTGTGCAGCACTTTGGAAAGTGTTTTTTTTATCGTCTTTAAATGTATTATCAGACCATAAACACTAAACATAAACTTGTTTTAAGTCTGTTTATCTCAAACTGAGCCTCATAAACTTATTTCCAGCCCTTGAACACAGACGCTTCATTCTCATCTAGAGCCGATTATTTTAAAATAAATTGTCCAGTAAAATGATTTTGCTGCACAGACGCATCATTTCAACACTTTTAACTCATTTTTCTGACAGATTTAAGTGTTTCGATGGAGCTTT